TTTCCGGTGTTGCATGCAACTTACTTAAACGTATTCCGTCTTTGCGTATTGCAAAGTTATCTTCTCTTGGGAGCAGGTATTGGGTGTTACGTCATTGGGTTGTGCGAGAAAATTCCGCCGTTTTCTCAAAAATTGATGACGTTACTCTCATAAACAAGGGACGTAACAATCAATACCTGCTCCCTAGAGAAGATAACTCTGCAATACGCAAAGACGGAATAGGACGGACATGTATGCTTTAGTGGGGTTTATTTATTCTCATACGCGTCGTTCGACACTTCCGGTGATAGTTACCATATCAAAGTAGACCCGTGTGCAATCTCAGTGAGATTTTTTATCATTTTCGTCTCGATATGTCCAGTAGTGTCGACTCCATGATGTCTTGTTTTATGTAACAGTATATAATGGACTTCCAATTGTTTTATTAAACAACATCTGTCTATTGTCGGCAAATATGTTGGCACTCAGAGAACACCTCGAAATACATGTTATACAGACATTTACCGGTGGCAGCGAACCAAAACAAACGACGGCCTCACGTCTGTCCCTCCTTAATTACTACACGTACCATCAACGCTGCTGAAAAAAACCATTGTTGTCCTAAATCCAGGACACAGCATACTTATGATAATGCCGTTGATGAAATCAATGACATACAAACAAAAACACCTTTGGTAGATTATGTCATTGCCGTCATTTAATAGCGTTTTTAAAAGACGTGTTTTTAAAAACTATAATGCCTCTCATTGATTTCTGCTCTCGAGTTATTTGTCACGCGACTGTCCAAACATGACGCATTGGCTACCGGAAGGAAGTACTTTATCGTATAAAACCTGTAGGAATGCTAAAATGATTGAAAACAGAAATATCGATTCTGCCTCGGTGTAGGCAGTTTTAATTGATATATTTAACCACTTAGGCATATTACCGTATTAGGGTTTCGCTTCCTCGAAAGGAAAGGTTTATCGTTGATGAACCGTTCGTACAGTGGTTCAACGGATACAATGGAAAACTACCCGCAGAACTATTGTCTTATATATATATATATATATTACGTTTATATGTTTCTACACTCATAATAAGAAACAACTCGAACAACCAAATTGAATGGAAATGGCCACCAAAATGGTGACATTTGAATTTATTCCAAAAGAGCCAGTTTAATGAATCTATTCATAAAATATCATATTACTTGAAAGAAATTAAAACATAGAGTAGTTGCGATGTTACAAACATAGGAGCATCCACCACACAATATAAACAAAAAAATGCCAGCTAGCCTAAGTGGGGTTGGCCAAAACCGCCACAAAGACACTTCTGATCGGAACATTCAGAATGTCTTTCCCACATTGGAAAACTTTTCGCAGAACTATTGTCTTATATATATATATATATATATTGTAATTGTACATATGCGGTATCATTTCATTGATATATAATTGTATTGGTTATAAACATAGTTATTTAAACTTTTAATACTGTTCATCATTATCAATAAAGGAATGTACTTACTTTAAGATGCCTGTACCATTGCCAGCAAAACAGTAAAGAATTCCCCCTCTACATTGTATTTTTTCATACATGCAATGATCTTTCCTTAAGTTCGTAAGGGTTAGAGCTATACAGAGCTGTAACTGTGTTCGAACTGAGCTAGCGACTACCTGTTACAGGTATAGTTCGGTAATAGCTCTGTTGGTCAAAGCGACCGCGTTGTGACCGGCGGTCCTAGATTCGAATCCATACTTACCATCATGGAAAAAATGTTTAGAAACATTCGAATCACGATGGTTTATTTCCCAATACGAAGATACATCGATCTTTAAGTGGTATTCTCATTTTGTAGATATTTTTAATAGCATTTATTGTATCAAGTGTATATCGGTGTACTGTAAAGCGCTTAAAAACGGCTTTTTCTAGCTAGAAAGGATGGTTTATAAAATGTATTTTTATTTATAATTTAACGCTTTTTTATCGAGACATTACGAAATGCACCAGTATTATGAAACAATCCCCACAGCCAAGAGATCAGTCGGTGAATCGGCAATAACAGGATGTATGTGTGGAAATTAACAAAAGTGACTAGTGTCTCGAAACGAGGCTGTTATGAATTCCGGAATTGGATTTACATAGTGAACCACATAAAAAGCCGATAAATCTGGCTGGCAATATCTATATAAGGTTTAGCTTCCTTTGGCAGTCTATATATATCATCGAACACGTAGCTGACGGATATATTTAGCATGTATTCTCTAAGAAAGCCATTGATCTATTAAATCGGAGAGGCAGTTTACCATAAATAGACCTATATATAAACATACATTTTATCCACAATAACAACAACAGCCATTGGAATGTCTTGTGTTTACTGACTGAAAGTAAAATTGCATTTGAGTTCTCGCGTTTGTTACGCGAAATGCACCGAATTAATATCTACATTTTTTTTACAAGCATAATTGATGAAGAACTCCGAGTAATAAACAGATGCTAAAAAAGGTCGTGAACGTACTGAGAGATGTTTGTTCCTGGTTTATTTACAGCACAGACGTGATCAAACGAACACGTCCGCAAACAAATAGATGTATGATCAATTATACATACATGCAATTATAACTTGCAAATCTGCAATCTGATTGGCTGTGATATGTTGTTCTCAACTTGATGTACATATACTGTATATATATTACATCGACCATGTACCCAAAATTAGCACAAACGGGGATAATCTTGGGATTATCTTCTGAGAACAAATTTACTCACTTTTAAATGTTTGATTTTACAAGAACTTTCATACAGCATAGCTTTATTAATTAACATGGTGTGAAGACTGTTTTTCATCTTCGGGTTGGTATAGTCTCAGTAATGCTAATTTTTTACTCTACAGAAAGGTCAATTTAAATAGAGTATTTCGTATTTTACATTGTACATGGTATGATAAGCATTGTATATATAAACAATTATTATCCTTTGACGCTGTCCCTAAAACATTTCATCAACCTAAAAACATTATACATTTCGACTCCTACATGTAGCCTTGGAAGTCTTAAAAGTAGTCTTCTTCGGGTTGATAAATCACAGAAACGACCTCAAAGGAGGTTAATAATGATGTATAACGCACGTGACAACAACATGTTTGTGTATATATACACAATGTGATTAAAAACCCGTTAAACACAATATGCTTTAAATCTGCATTTGATTTGATTTAAGACAATATATGAAACACGTACGATATGGAATTGCCTATAATCTCCACGCGGGTTAAAGGAAATGTCTTTTGACATAAACTCCTTTGCTATGCGTGCGGAACCTTGGCAGACTATTGGTTAAAGTAGAAAACGCGACGGTAAAAACCAACGGTCGATAATATATACAGGAGAACCATCAGCAAAATTAATTTGAGAAAAATTGCAGACGTGGTAGAGTGCAAACTCCGTCTTAAGAAGAGGTATGAATTTATTTTTCCTAATACTTTCCCTGTTAACGCTTTTATCATCACGCAATCTGCGCCTCGGGTTTGGTTTCGAGTGTTTTGCTGGAATCTGTTTACGGCGGAAATTTATTACATTTCATCTTTCTTCCAGTAAAAAATGACACATAATCAGCCCAAAAAAAGACCTGATTTTATTTTGTTTCCTTCTGTCACATTGTTTGAGCGGGGGACTCTTTAAGCTTTCGTCTATTCTTACGACCCGTCCGAACATCTTTGTTAGACTTTTAGCCTCAATTTATCGCCTTTGCTTTTGGTTTGGTTTGTTTGTGTTTAACGTCCTATTAACAGCTATGGTCATATCAGGACGTGCCAGGTTTTGATAGGGTGGAGGGAGGTCGGAGTTCCCGGAGAAAAACCACCTACCTACGGCAGTACCTGGCGACTTCCACATGTAGGTCTCGAACCCGCGACCAAGTGGCGGAGGGCTACTGGTAGCAGAATGTCAGACGCCTCAACCACTTGGCCACCGCTGCCCCTCTTAGACTTTGCACCCCGTAATACCGGCGGACGTAAACACGAGGTTGGTGTTACGTTGTCCTGTTAAGGTGAGCTTTTTTATTTTATTTTTTCATATTTTCCGTTTGACTCAATTGTAAGATCCGCTTTTTAAAGTGGTCATGTATGGCGTTTCCTGTGCGGATCCCACGCATGTGTCAAGTAATAGTAGTTTAGCAAAGACAGAGTATTTGAATGGTTGGTCGTTAATCAAATTTAAGTGATATTTTTATTAGATATCCTTCCTCCAAACAAAAAACAATACTTTTCCAAAATTCAGCGATTTCTTTATTTAGCGGTTGTCCAAAACGTCAGACCAAAACTGGTTCGTACATGTATTACACACTAATTATACATTGGCCACCACTTTGCCATATTTTTGTTGCCGCCATTCCGCTTAACGCGAGTCGTAAGCGCATGTGCAATTACATGTGCTAATATTTTGTTACATATATGCTTTCCTTCATGAAAGTATTTTTCAAATATTTTCGTTAATAAGGCCAATATCTACAGTAATATTGAAAATGGAAGCGATAGTATTGTAATTGATGGAAAAGACAGTTTTTTTTCTATATTTCAGAGCTAATAAAGAAGCGATAGTATTGTAATTGATGGAAAAGACATTTTTTTTCTATATTTCAGAGCTAATAAAAAACCGATAGTATTGTTATTGTGGGAAAAGACAGTTTTTTTCTATACTCCAGAGCTAATAAAGGTTTATTGCAAGAAAAAAAATGAGAATACTGAAAGAAGACAAGCGGTAGGAGTAATTTTAATACAATGGTCAGCAAATTATTCTGTTTTTCTGTTTGTAGCTGAACGCTACGCATTCATTTTTGTATCCGATAAGTCGAGTCATTTATGTCAAACTTGAAGGACTGTACGTTAACAAACCCTTGTTTAGAACACAAAAAGAAAACGCCGCGTTAAATTCCGTCTTAAACAATCGCTATCTATGACGTCACAAAATTATTGATAATCAATGACATCACAAACAAACAGATATGATGAGGTCATCCTTGACAACCATCATTAGGTTGGGAGACTAGGCGTTCGGGATGGATGCAAGTTTACTCTATTTGATAGAAAATAGCTGAAACGGGGAAAAAATGGAATTTGAAGAATATTCAGAAAACACGAAAGGGAACGAACTAGGGAAACGATTTAGCTCCCAATCGTGTAATGTCTTTGATGAGCTGAGACGATTTCAACAGCTCTGCGACGCCGTGATAAAAGTTGAAAACGAAGAATTCCCGATCCACAGAGCCATCATGTCGGCCAGTAGCCCATACTTCCGGGCCTTATTTACAAATGCCCTAGACGCGGTAGACAAACGAGAGATAGAAATTCCAGGAGTGACAGCCGAGATCATGCACATTATCATAGACTATGCCTATACCCGTCGTGCAAAGATCGACAAAAATAACATAGAGAGTTTGCTCCCGGCTGCCGACCAATTTCTTGTTCACGGTCTTGTAAGACGATGCTGTGATTTTCTCGCTCGGGAACTAGAGCCAGAAAATTGCATTGGCATATATAAGTTCGCTCGAACTTATTTTTGTCTTGACTTGGAGCGAATAGCGTATCGTTATTTAATGCATAACATTAATGATGTAATGAACGGAAGTGCCGAATATCTAAACCTTGATTTAACAGAAGTCTGTGAAATACTGTCCTCCGACGATCTGAATGTGAACAGCGAGGAAATTACATTCTTGGCAGTTTTGCTCTGGATCGATCGCGATCCCACAAACCGGAAGTCCCACATCGCCGATCTGCTTCGGACCATTCGGCTTGGTCTCCTATCAACCCAATATTTCGTTGAGCATGTCAAATCGCATCCGTTTGTCATGGGAAATGAGCAATGCAAACCAATTATCATTGATACCCTGAAGTTCCTGTATGACCTCGATATGGTCGAGGAAAGGGATTTGGATATGGCCAATCCACTGGCACGGCCGCGGATACCACACGACGTGATGTTTGCGGTGGGCGGATGGACAAACAGATCCCCGATTTGTACCGTGGAGACCTACGATACACGAGCAGATAGATGGATAATATGTAGTAAAAATGACGACAGTAAGTTGCAATCGTATAGGTTAAGTGCATGATTGACACAGGGATGTCATAAAAGGAAAGGAAAGGAGTCGATATTTTGTTTTTGGGGGGGGGGGGGGGGGGGGGGGAGCGGCACCATCCCAACCTCAACCCCCGCATATATGTTCACTATATACATACATTTTGCTCCAATATCACCTTTTATACCATGTAATTAGTCTGACCTATACAATCTTCTCTCCCCTTTCTTTATTTTTCATTGTAATAATCCTTTATTTTTATTTTTGAACTCTCCTGGTATTGAACTAGGAACATATGCTCAGTTCATTTCATAGACGTGTTCTGTTCTAAAACAGAATTATATCATAATTGAAGCTATCGCGAGTTTTGCTTATACAACTATTTATAACTTAGATAAAATAATCTAATTATATGTAATGATCTAATTTGGAAGCTTCATTGGCATTCCAAGGTAAAATAGAAAATGTCTATACATTTCACAGCGTCATCAATACCTTAGATAAAAAAAAAAAAAAAAAAAGATCTGAGGAGACACTTAGACAGCATATACATGTACCCCCGTAACAGTTCCGGAAGTTAAACATCACATACCCACTTAAAATTTCCGGAAGTAACAAACTATATACCACCTTAAACATTCCGGAAGTATAGGTGTTTTCGTCTCCGCATGATGTGGCAACCATCATGCTACATGTATCTCCAATCAAATTAAGAAATAACGAAAATATTGGAAACAAAATAGTGCGGTTATTGTCTTGATAGTGTTCAATATAATTTCAACGACAGTTGTTTTAAAGCGCCTTTTCATTTTTATTTTCTACAGCGCCTCGGGCCTACCACGGCACCGTCACGATTGATCTTAAAATCTACGTTATCGGAGGGTTTGACGGGGTGGACTGCTTCAACAGTGTCAAGTGTTTCGACGCAGTCACCAAGATCTGGTCTGAGGCTGGGCCTATGATTTCAAAAAGGTTACTATCTTCATCGTTCATCTTTTTTTTTTTTTACTAAAAACTATTTGCCACAAAATTTTGTTTAAAAATCCTTTAGAGAATCAACTGGTCTGACATTAGAAACAAGGAATAATCCGACAGTAAACTCCAATAAATCTAATTCTGTAACTAAAACGATACATTTATATAGTTTGTCGAGTGTCTTGGGCTTATCAGCTCATTCACCCCTGAAATTTCATAATGAACTGTTCCAACCATTGAATTGTGGAAGAGTTAAAATGTGTTTTTGTGTGTGAATTAGTTAGTGCATCGACTATAAAACATAGATAGCGGGATGATTTCAGTCTAAAACTGGCTCGCTACAACAATTTCCGACCACCATTCAGTTAATTTAATCTGCTTCAGTCTGGATTTGAAAGATGTATAGCGCTTGATGTTAGCTATTTTAAAACGTTTTCCGCGTTTGTTTTCAGGTGTTACGTGAGTACGACTGTACTACGAGGTTGTATCTATGCCATTGGTGGATTCGATGGTCACGTGAGGCTGAACACGGCGGAGCGATACTTCCCCGGTCGTAATCAGTGGATGAACATCGCGCCTATGAACCACCAGCGCAGTGACGCTAGCGCCACAACACTACACGGTACAGTAACAATAGAAACGCTTACTTCCTCCTTCAAAGATAATTCAGAAACATAGAAACAAACACGTATCGGAACCATTGAGCAACGCGTATATCCTACACTCTACTTACTTAGTTACCGTAGCAATGTATAGTGAAACAGCGGATACGACAACTGGAAGAGCATAATTATATTCACAACCAATAAGAGTACTGTAATATTATGCAAAACATTAACATGTACAATCACTATGTGAGTCAACTTTGGAAACACGCATCTTCCTTCAGTTGTCGTTGAAAGACGCAGTTTCCTGTCATGAACTGCCCTTTCTTGACATTAACATCCCTGCTTCGCAACCTACAGTGTAAACGTGTCGCAGTTTATTCGGTATTCAGAAGTTTGCTTCTAATTCTATTCTTTCCGTTATGATATTTACGAGTTGCCATATCACAGACCGGTTACATGTATTTTACTTTATTTTAATTTATTAAATAATATAAATACATTTGGAAACTACAAATTATTGGTGTAACTAGCATATCTTTATTTGCTACAATTCAGAAAAGATTTACATTTGTGGCGGATTCAATGGAGAGGAATGTTTGAATTCGACTGAATATTACGACCCTTACGCAAACCAGTGGACATGTTTTGCGCCCATGCGCAGCAGACGTAGTGGTTTAGGTGTCAAGGCCTACGGGGACCAGATATATGCTGTAGGGGGGTTCAATGGTATCTCTCGGATGAGCACTGCGGAGCGGTACAACCCATTCACAGATCGCTGGGAATCTATTCTTGCTATGTACAGTCCCAGGAGCAACTTTGGTGTAGAAGTGAGTATTTAAAGGGGGATAAATATGGGGATTCAAATTAATACTTAGTATCTTAAAGATACATCCCATCCATTTTATGAAACATCTCATAAATATTGGAGATATCTATTCATTTAAGAGATATCGTATTTACATTTTTAAAATATCCGAGCTATTTCTAGTTGTAAGAGATAATGTCAATTATATTTAAATACATTTTTTAACTAATTTCGAGATATTTTTCACGTTTTTAAAGACATCCATGTATCTAATCCAATTAAACAAACAGCTTTTCAAACTAATATTAGATGTCTTAAAATATAATAAAGATTATTTTAATAGAGATATGGATTTTTTTTAAAGAAAACCCAGAGATTTCTCTAACTGAAACTGTTAAAACTTCATTGGATATTTGTTTCAATTTGCTTGTAAATGAAAGATGATATACTCTGTGTTACTAGATAATAGATAACATGGTTTGTGTTACTAGATAATAGATAACATAGTTTGTGTTACTAGATAATATATGACATAGTTTGTGAAACTAGGTAATATATGACATTATTTGTGTTACTAGGTAATAGATGACATGCTTTGTGTTACTAGGTAACAGATGACATGCTTTGTGTTACTTTGTAACAGATGACATGCTTTGTGTTACTAGGTAACAGATGACATACCGTGTGTTACTAGGTAATAGATGATATACTGTGTGTTACTAGGTAACAGATGGCATGCTTTGTGTTACTAGGTAATAAATGACATACTTTGTGTTACTAGGTAATAGATGAATGCTTTGTGTTACTATGTAACAGATGACATGCTTTGTGTTACTAGGTAACAGATGACATAATGTGTGTTACTAGGTAACATATGGCATGCTTTGTGTTACTAGGTAATATATAACATTCTTTGTGTTACTAGGTATTTAATGACATGCTTTGTGTTACTAGGTAACAGATGATATACTTTGTGTTTCTAGGTAATAGATAACATAGTTTGTGTTACTAGGTAATAGATGACATGCTTTGTGTTACTAGGGAATACATGATATGCTTTGTGTTGCTAGGTTATAGATGAATGCTTTGTGTTACTAGGTAATAGATGACATAATATGTGTTACTAGGTAACATATGACATTATTTGTGTTACTAGGTAATAGATGACATGCTTTGTGTTACTAGGTAACAGATGACATGCTTTGTGTTACTAGGTAATAAATGACATGCTTTGTGTTATTAGGTAACAGATGACATTCTTTGTGTTACTAGGTTACAGATGACATGCTTTGTGTTACTAGGTTACAGATGACATACTTTGTGTTACTAGGTAACAGATGACATACTTTGTGTTACTAGGTAACAGATGACATGCTTTGTGTTACTAGGTTACAGATGACATGCTTTGTGTTACTACGTTACAGATGACATACTTTGTGTTACTAGGTAACAGATGACATACTTTGTGTTACTAGGTAATAGATGACATGCTTTTCGTCATTGGGGGATTTGACGGCGTATCTACAACACAAGCAGTGGAATGTTTCGACAAAAAATCAAACGAATGGTAAATATTTTTTTTACCTCAATAACACTTAACATGATAGTCCCTTAAAACGTCATCTTAGGTTCAGTTCATTGACCACCAGTATTTTTTCCCCAAAGTAAGGAACTCAAAGTTACCTGTACATATAAGTTCATCTGCACTTCCATCCGGGCTAAAATGACTAATTAATATAAGTTTTAGCAAAACAATCATTTCATATTCGTTGTTAAACAAACACATTCTCTAAAAGTAAGGTGCCATTAATATCCTACGATCAAAGATAAGAAACACCGGCCTCTAACAACTTAAGTGATGACCATCAACAACTTGCGTTCAAGTCGATGATCGCCACCACCTTACGATTATCGCAAGGAAACACTAACATAGGTCGTTAAATGTTACTCATTCAAGTATCTATATACTGCACCCACTAGTCTTTTGACATAAAATACAATGATGTACAATGTAACGTTACACCTTTTTTGTTACCACATGTCGGTCATAGGGGATGTCGAAGATAATGCAATGTCACACGGTAGTCATCCTCGATATCCAGGGGTTACGCTCACTTTCGCTGTCGACACCCCTGGGATATGTCATAGCAAAGTTGAAGGCACTAAGATAGCTGTTTGATTGGTGTCAGGTTAAATGAACTGACCAATCGCTAGGCTGATACAACTGTCCTTTGATGGTTACAAAGGAGAGACACCCAACTTCAAAGCCTGTCGTTTTTCACCGGTACGTGACCGCGAGATTCTTTTGATGCACATCAAAGGATCCAACTAGTCTTCTTGTCACATCAACAAGGTGGCGCACATCGAGCCTTCAATTTTGCTATGACATATTCCAGGGGTGCAGACAGCGAAAGTGAGAGTAACCCCTGGATATCGACGATGCACGTTAGTTTGCAAATCATTTGTCCTGAGCGATACGTCAGATACATAAAGTAGTTATATATAGTTAATTACCAGTTCATCACAGATTGTTATCATTGTTTGTCGTTTGAACATTTTGTCATGCCAGAACGTAGATACCAAAAACAGACTGTGATACAAAGCCTACACAGGCGGAAATGTACTCGATGATCTTTGATTCACATTTTTTTGTTGTTGTTGTTTTGTAAATCCTTACTCAAACATGGTATAACATTAAACTGTTTGAGTGAAATATACACTTGTATTTACGTGATCATTCAAAATTTAACACAGTTATAGATGTTAATTCTTATACAAAGTAACTTGTATTTGTCTAGGTTTGACACAACGGAAATGAACGCCCGCAGAAGTGCTCTTAGCGCATGCGTCATTACCGGACTTCCGAACACTCAGGATTACACGTACAAAGAATATATTGCAACGAAACAAACTGTCCAAATTCAGGACGGTAATATTGAAAATGAATCAAGTTTTTCTTTTTAGTAATGTTAATTTGATTAATAACATGTGTTTGTTGTTGATTATTCGAATTTTGAAGAACGACGAAACTTCCTTTATCCGGACATCATCACTGAATACAAATCCGGATTATACCGCAAAGTTCGGATTTACGATATTCCATTGTAATTCTTTATCACTTGTGAGAATAAACATTTAAATATTTTCCTCTGGTTTTAGCCGTCAATGATGGATTCGTGTAAAAATAAACCAGTTAAATGTTATTTACGTGCGTGAGTTACATGCTGGAACGTTCGCGGATGGGAGAAATATTCCTCTTTGCGTCGTATTTAGTAGGCTAACCAATGTCCAATCATGTATTGTGATTAAGCAAATTCTAAAATTCTTTGATGGCAAGGCTTGAATTAACGCCAAAACGTAAATAACACGAATATCCCGTTCACATACACGTGCAGTTCACGTAAACAAAAGGGAAATAATTTGCATACATCTAAATTTTAATTCACAACAGGAATGAATAGTCGTAGGGAATATTTGTACCAAAATTCTAGGAAGGCATTGTACAGGTACAGCTGTAAGTTTGTAGTTTTTTTATTTTTACATGTGTGTCTCTTGGCTTGTTTCAGCTTGCACATTTTGTGGACTGTAACATATTGACAACGTATACAAATGCGTTTGCCAATATTACGCTACGCCACCGCGAGTTGCTGTCTCGTGCAGTGACGTGGAAGAGGCCATGATGGTTTTAATATAGCACGAGCGAGCTGAAGAAAGTGAAACAAATAACACAGTTTTCATATCAGTCAACTTGATTTGGGTTGTATAAAACTGTTATACCGACACAGACTGACAGTCAGTCCCTGCTCGTTACATAAATAATAAACGCATGATCAGTCCGTGTAATGCAATTTCCGAAAATTGGTATTTGAAGCAGGGTGAAAAATATGGTAAGATAGATACATTTACACGTGCTGGTTTACATGTCTCGGCCTATATCGTGACGTATTGGGCCACGGGGTGGCTCTGTGGTTTCTTAAGCGGATTTTTTTGTGCCCGATGTTCGTCTTCACATATCCCAGCGGTTAAACAAAAATAATGCATTGTAGTTATACATTTCTCTTACCCTGGAAATGCGTCATCGGTAATTGCGACGTCATCAAAAGTGAATTACGACACACATACCCCACACGTGTTTTTGTTTACAAACATGGCAGACTACTGTTGGTGGAACTGTGACTGAATAAAAAGGATGGGAGAGAAAAAGTCATCCCCTACCTTGAGGGTTTAACAGAGAAATCGCATACCCTCGGGGTGATTTTTTTGGTGGTCTAAATAACCAAAAAAAACATCACCCTCGGGTTGGATATTTCTCTGTCACACCCTCAAGCTAGGGGAAGATTCTATTAGTCTCACCATAGGGTTGAGACGGGGGAATTGCCCTATTCATAACAATGATATGACGTCAATTCAAAAATACAATGACTTCACGTCAACAATCCATCAACGTGAACTCTGAATTTAGCATGTAACGTTATCATTATATTGTGTATATGATACACAATGGGAGAACAGGGTAAGAGAAAAAGAATCATTCACCCCCTTGTGGGTGACATAGGGAAATCTCAACCCTTGGGAACGTTTCTTAAATTGCCAAACACTCGGCAAAGACTCGTGTTTGGCAACTAATGAATCTACCCCTTCAGGTTGAGATTCCCCTATCTCACCTCAAACGGGGTGAGAGATTCTATTAAGCCCTGTACAAGGTTGTAGTTTGGCGAATCCGGACATACGGCCTGAGGGTCAGTACAATATATCGTTCGACTTTTACCGCGAGGGATAAAACAAATCAGTTTTATAATCATCCATTCAGTACAGGAAGGTCATACGCTGTAGACGATTCACGAGAAGTCCCCACTACCCGTCGGATTTGGTGAGAATTTGTCATACAATATACATGCATGTATATACAGTTACACGGCTTCCGTAGACGTTCAACACTCCTCATACATATATATCTCTTTTGATTGTTTAAAATATCGATTTACCATCGGTCAACTAAAATGGCTGTCACTATCACGAGTAACTCGACCCGGTCTAGAGGAAGCGTTTGATTGATCATGACGGTCATGAGGCAAGCGTTTAAGTAACCCCGCCTGTCTAAGACGCCGCATGCTGCTTGCGTGCTGTGACGTATGCTCAACGCCGTAGGTTTCGCCAGTAAAAGCTTTCACATTGTCAGGGATGCTATCGATTTGCATCTGTGACAAAATCGGAAATGTCTTACTAGCAGTTTTCGACCCCATTCATGTCCTTACACCTAGGAACTCGGTGTTCTCAACATCTACAAATGGTCATAACGCTTCCTACCTACGTCACACTTTAGGCCAGTCTTCCAAACCGTTGAATCTTCCCCTGCCTTTTCGTTAATTCAGTTTCCTACCTAGTTCACGAAGTGTTACAGTAGATAGCTCAGCTTAAACTCAGCTTGATGTGGTCTGAAAGTATCAGAGAAAATTGAGCCCGGAAATTTACGAACTTAAACCGTAAACGTAGCAACGAATAAAAACAAACCAAGAAATCACTAGAAATATGGAGAAAGAATCTCCTACATTGAGGCAGACAAAAGGAACATTTTTCTACACCATATAGCCATTTCGCCTATTAAGGTCTCGTCAGTCCGGATTTGTTTTAAGTTAGACGTCTATGTTATGTCATTTGAGCAAGTTTTCGCTCATTCAATACAGTTGTAATATATTGTATCTCGGAAAGGTTGAGTGTTAGGTGAAGGAATTGCGTCCTGTGTACGTCTTTATGCAGAGTTTTGACCCTTTCATTGAATCTAACTGGATGTTGCGTTGCATGTGATGGGCGTATATATTGATCCGTCCTGTGGTTCACTTGCTAAATATTTCGGTGTTAGATCATATTCGATCTCGCAACACTTGATTATGAAGCAAGGTTATAGCGCATCTCGTCTAGCGATCTTAGATGAGACTAGAATGTTAATATACAACATGACAAACACACAGTAGCGCGATGGGGGATTTCTAAGAGAGAACCAAATCGTACAAGATAAAGTGTATAGAAAAACCCCATAGCAAATATTTGTTGATGACGTGTAGACTCAAGTAGAAAAGTTAATTATGATAAAACACTGTCGCGTAAAAAAAATCTCGAAATCTTATCTGCCCATGCTTAGAACATGTATGTTGCAGTTGCATGAAATGTTGACATTAGTTTGATCAAATATAAATCCACTCTTAACTTCCTCTTTTTCATGCCTCTCTTCCTCCCTTTCACTCATCCCTTCATTGTTCACTCTTCTCTTCCCCCTTCCCTCCACTCGCTCTTCTCCTCTTCCCTTCCTCATTTCTTTCTTTCCTCCATTCCCTCTTCCCTTCCACCCTCCCTCCCTCCCTTCCTTCTTTCCTTCCTTCCTTCCTTCCCATTTCCTCTTCCCTCTTCCACTCTTTCCTTCCTCCCTTCAATCCTTCCACTCTTCCCTTCCTCCCTTACTCCCTTTCCGCCTTCCCTTCAACATTAACATCGGTTTTGACGATAACATGGATTCCAAGGCCTTTACATTTTCAAATCAACATTTGTCATAATATGATAAGATAATATGATTGGATGGAACGTATAGCCTTTCCGTGTGGTGACAGGTGTCTGCCAAGTAATTCAAAGTCCCATCGTCTGGTAGTTTGAAAGTCCGTTACCAGAAAAGGTCCGATAATCGAAAGGATCAATTAATTAATCTAGAATAGATTCAGGTCAAATGTTAATTGCAATTTTGTTGGTCGATTAGTCCGATTGCCCGATTGCCCAATTGTCCGAGGCCCATAGTCTTTGGGCTTGATAGTCTTAAGGTAGTGTTACTGCTTAATTGGTACCACTTGACCTTGTTGGCATGGTTGGACATGGGAATTAGGCTTTCGGACTACTGGGCGTTCAGAAGTGAAAAATAGTCTCCATACAATCGGGCCTTTTGAAATCTGGGTAGACATTTTTTAGAGTAGACTGTTAGTGGTCAATTATCAGAGAACAACGACGTCATTCAAGCCAACTTTGATTTAACAAACATACATATGCCGACCGTCTTTCTCATACATCAAACACACTTTGCTTACATATATTGAGTAAACATTTGCATAAATAATGCCGAATGAAGTTTATAAATCGTCCGGCGAATCTTCTAGATTTTTATTCAAAGCTTGAACTTCATGGACGTTGTTCTGTTGTACCTGGCATTCACACGGACTACCGAAAGATATCGAATGGTTATACCTATCAATGTCAGTTGTTAGTTATTCTGTCTTTGCGTATTGCAGAGTTATCTTCTCTTGGGAGCAGGTATTGATTGTTACGTCATTGGTTTGTGCGAGAAAATTACGTCGTTTTCACAAAAATTGATGACGTTACTCTCACAAACAAGTGACGTAACAATCAATACCTGCTCCCAAGAGAAGATAACTCTGCAATACGCAAAGACGGAATAAGAACATGAATCTGGAATAATTTTCGTGACGTTATGACTCATGGCATGGTTATGTCATTCTTATAGCGCTGGGGATAGTTGGCTAAACTATTTACATTTTTGTATAACCAGTTCCACTTATTGCGTGCACTTAAAATATCCATTGACAGAGATCAGTTTATTTTCAAAATAGATCTAAATAACGCGCGCGCGTGATCTGATCTGTCTGCGATGACGGGATTTCATGACTAAATGTATAAAACTTTTGAGAAGAATGCAGTTTAATGCTTAAATAATTACTTCAGCGTCATCGGTGTTATGAAGTGGTTTGGGGAATACTGACAAAATGACTGTGTGACAACAGAAACCCCTGAAATGAACAGCCGACCGTGTTTGTCATGGAAGTTGCTGAGAGCAATATATGAAAAAAACCGCACCACGTAGCCATTTAGCATGTGCATTTCAGGATTCACAAGACACTTCGGGGGACAGTTTGACTTTGCAGTGCGACATCTGTGAAGCTTAACTACATTGTAGGTTGTGACAATGCAATTATTTGATGCAGAAAGGCAAACAGCGATTATTTCCAAAGGAATGGCACCGTTTTGTAAAGTACTGGCGAGATTAAATGC